TTTTTTTTTTTTTTTTTTTGAGACGTGTTCTTAATAAGAAATTGGTAACTTGTCTGTGATTTGATTATCAAATTCTGCGTTGAGGATTATCAGTACTTGTTTGTTTACATACTTGTCCGATGCAGTTGTTGATTAATACCCTGGCTGAGAAACTCCAATGGCTTTAACTTCACTATTATTTGTTCGTGTCTGTATTCTGCCATTCTGGACATGTGATGTGAGATCGGGAAAGCACGTTTTAAAAACGTTTTAACTTCACTATTAGGTTAGGGAGGAGAATAGAGGGAAACCTCTCCATAACAAGCACGTTTTAAAAACTTTGAGGGAAATCTTGGGTGGGAAAGTTCAAAAAGAGGACGATAACTACTAGTGGAGGGCTTGAATTGTTACAAATGGTATTAGAGCCAGACACTGGGCGATGTGCCAATGAAGAGGTTGAGCCTCGAAGTGGGTGGACACGAGGCGGTGTGCCAGCAAAGACGCTGGACCTCAAGGGGTGGATTGGGGGATCCCACATCGATTGGAAAAGGGAACAAGTGCCAGCGAGGACGCTGGCCCCGAAGGGAGTGGGTTGTGCACATTGGTTGGGGAGAAGAACGAAGGATGAAGGATGTGGAAACTTCTCCCTAACAAACGCGCTTTAAAAACATTGAGAGAAAACCCGAAAAGGAAAGCCCAAAAAAATAATATCTACTAACGGAAAACTTAGATGGTTATATGTGATATTTTTGAATTCTTAGCAGTGATATAGTCATACTTATCTCTTCGTTTGGGGGTTGGCTTCTCCTCTTTACCAGGTACGTGTTCCTAATGTCGTTTGGAATCTCATTGTTAAGTGGATTTGGAAGAACACTTAAGTTCAATCACTGTCAAATAAGATAAGTCCTTGGTTATTGTTCGAAAAAGCTGAAAGAAGATCTGGATGTTTACATTGTTTGATTCGTAATGCCGTGGTAAATGGGGTCATGTTCTATGAAGTAGTAGTGAAGAGTATTGTAATGATGTCAAGTTAATTAGGCCCAACATGGAGTTGGTGCCTGTACATTGTCATTGAGGTTTTCCCATCAGAATCATATGTTAACAGATACCTTTGGTGCCTGGTGAGTGGCCAGATGGGCTTGGGGGATTGTTCTTTGTGGTCTCTTGTTGCACACCCCTCTAATTTTCTGTTTTACACCGAGTGTGTCACTACTTTTGTTCGTATAATGTGGCGTCAGTGGGTGCTTGAGGTTGCATGCTATCAGCCAAACCCTTTTATCTGAAACCCACTTTGTTTAGATTGAGAGCATCAAGAAACATTCCTTTTGAAATTGAGTAATAAGAGTCTTTTTGTGTATTCGTATGCCTATTAGAGTGATACTCTAAACGGTAAGATAATTAAGAAAAGCTTAAAAGAATTGAAAGTCACTATCTATACGAACTTTATAGGAACAAGGTACACCTTCCTTTTATAGTAACTTTATAGTTAAACATGCTTTGTTCAATGCAATTGTATGTTGGGTGCCCTCTTGATTGTTCACTTATGATGCACGTGAGTGAGAAAGTATGCTGGAAGGACTTGTGTTAGTATCTGTTAGTATGAGCGAGAAATAAGTAACGTGACCATATTACAGGGAAATGTTGGGGTCATCAAGTGTCGAATCCAGATTCCGAATCCTGATCTTTTTCTTTGGCATAGGTTGTTACACTTTTGAATTCCTTGAATATCTGTCTAAAACACTCGGGCAATCCTTTGATGATACAATCCTTTGCGAGTAGAGATTAGAATCGTTCAAAACAACAACTATTTACTTTTAAGACTAAATGATTGTTGTGGACATCCAACTGCAATCCTCAAATGGATAAGATGTTTATCTCCCATTACTACACTTCTATATCGAAAAATTAGGTTGAATTATTGTCTAAACTTATACATTTTTGACGGAATTAGGCCGTTACCATATTTATTTGTCTTTAAAACTATTTAAAATAAATTCTAAACTAAATATGTAAATGTTCCAAAATTTGTAATTTTAAAAATAAAATTTTATGATTTTTTTAGTATAACAAAGAAAAGATGACAATTTAAATTGCTTAAAAATTATTATCATTCTGTTTGTGCATTAAAAAAAAATATAATAATAATAATAATTAATGGTATTGACCTATTAAACACATTTTAAATTTTAAATAACAAATAAAAAAAAAATTAATTTCACGGAGTTCAAATTTATTATCAATGTTGATATTTTTATAAGCTCCCAAGACATTCAAATTAAATATAATAATAAATTTAAAAATATTAAAAATTTAGAAATATCTTTTAACAAAAATAAATAAATAATAAAACGATGGATGGGTGAACCCCGAAATGGATGCAGAGTACATTTCATTTCACTCCCACCATTGCCAGAAACCTCTCTTATCCCTTCCATTTCTTTTGTATTCTTAGCCTGCTAGAGAAACTTCTTCTTCTTATTCTTCTTCGACTGAGCTTTCTCCCCCGCCATGGCAATGGCCACTTGTTGTCCCACTGTGCACTCTTCCCTTACGATGGCCCACACTTGTTCTGTTCACCCTCAAGACCTTCCTTCCCTTCTCTCCTTCCGACCCATTGCCGCCCCTTCCACCGCCAAGATTTTCCACCCCTTAATTGTCCGTAGCAGGGGAAGGAAGCCAATCAATTGGGTTGACTTTAATTTTAGGAGAGAATCTAGGGATCATTTGGTTGTGGCTGCTTTGGCTGCGGAAATTGAGGTGCCTGAGGCTGTGGAAGAGAATGGAGAAGAGGGTAATACAGCTACTTTAATTGTGCCCAAGATTAAGAAGGGCAAGGCTGCATTGCCTCTTAAAAGGGACAGGGTAAGCTTGCCTGTTTTCAATCTTGTTGAATGACTTTTTGGATGTTGTTTTAGTGTTTGATTAGTGGGTTTTGCTTCATTTTAGGTTTCTTTTTTCTTTGTTCTCCTTCTGGTTTCATTATCCTCTGGGAGTACTAGTTCTCTAATACCCACTTCGGTTGGAGAGGAAACGAGGAAACGAAACATTTCTTATAAGGGTGTGGAAACTTTTCTTTTTAGGTACATTTTAAAACTGTGAGACTGATGGTGATACGTAGCAGGCCAAAGCGGCCAATATCTACTAATGGTGAGCTTGGACTGATTACAAATGGTATCAGAGCCAAACATTGGGGGTGTACCAGTGAGGACACTGGGCCCCTAAGGGAGATGGACTATGAGAACCCATGTTAGTTGGAGAGGGGAACAAAACATTCCTTATAAGGGTGTGAAATCCTTCCCTAGTAGATGCGTTTTAAAATCATGAGGCTGACGGTGATATGTAATGGGCAAAAGCGGCTAATATCTACTAGCAGTGGACTTAGGCTATTATAAATGGTATCAGAGCCAAACACCGGGCAATGTGCCAGCGAGGACACTGGGCCCCCAAGGGAGTGGATTGTGAGATCCCACGTTGGTTGGAGATGGAGGAAATGAAATGTAATGGAGCTGTTACAAATGGTATCATAGCCAAACACCAGGCGGTGTGCGAGCGAGGACGCTGACCCCCAAGGGGAGTGGATTGTGAGATCACACATCGGTTGGAGAAGTGAACGAAACATTCCTTATAAGGATGTGGAAACCTCTCCCTAATAGACGTGTTTTAAAATCGTGAGGCTAACGATGATATGTAATGGACCAAGGCGTACAATATCTACTAGCAGTGAGCTTGGACTGTTACAAACAGTATCAGAGCCAAACACCGGACAGTGTACCATCAAGGATGCTAGCCTCTAAGGGGGTGGATTGTGAGATCCCACATTAGTTGGAGAAGGGAACAAAGCATTCCTTATAAGGGTGTGGAAACCTCTCCCTAGTAGACGCGTTTTAAAACCGTGAGGCGGACGACAATACGTAACGGGCCAAAACGGACAATATCTACTAGCGGTAGGCTTTGACTATTACAAGTTCGTATCATATCTATTTCCGATTATGCCTTCGTTAGTTGATCGAGAACCATTTGAGGTTGAAAGAAAACGCTAGCAATAGGGCGGTCGAGTTCTATTTCTTTGTTATTCTCCTTTGCAGCATCAGCCTTTGCAGCTAGTTATTATCCATATTTTCTTCATCTTCTTTTCTTTAAAAGTTCTACTTTGAGAGGTTCATAAACGATATAAGGCTTACTTTCAGTTCATATTCTTAGCCATGTTCTTAAAATATGCATTTTTCACCTTTGTTCATCACTGCTGCATCAGCTCTTACATGAACTTGTGTTCTTTAAACATGCAGACCAGGTCAAAGAGGTTCCTGGAGATTCAAAAACTGAGGGAAAGCAAAAAAGAGTATGACCTGAAAACAGCAATATCTTTGTTGAAACAAATGTGTAGCACGAAATTTGTGGAAACCGCCGAAGCCCATTTTCGACTAAACATCGATCCGAAATATAACGATCAACAGCTGAGAGCAACAGTAAGTTTAAGTCCAACCCCTACTTGATTCTACTATATCTATGTCCTTCATCATCAATGCTTACCTTTCTTACAGGTTAATCTGCCCAAGGGAACTGGGCAGACAGTCAAGGTAGCTGTTCTTACTCAAGGTAAGTACTAAATTTAACTCGAGCGATATCTTCGTTGGTTAGGATATAACATTCGATGTTAGAAGTAACGTGAGTTTTCAATGAGCTTTGGTTCGGTTTCTTTCACTTTTGAAGAACCATTATTTCGTTATCGTGAGACCATTGGGGAAAAGATATTTACATTTGATACAACTAGTTATATGAACCTTAATGGATATTATTGTCTGCATAGTGTTGTTAGGATCGCACAGCGACACGCACTCGATCTAGATGAACACAAAAAACAGGAGAGGAAATGTAAGGAGTGAAAAGTACATTTATATATGGTTCAGTTTACTAATATATAGCTCTACTTATAGCGGTTCAATTTACTATAGACCATATATAGTTCATTTAGCTTTACAAGATAATAGCCATTTATAGCTAAAGTATTGACTGATTCAGTTTACTATATATAACTTTACCAGATATAGTTATCTATACTGTATACATGTATACATATATACATGTATACTACATGTATACATGTATACATGTATATATATAGATATATGGTTCAGTTTACTATATATAGCACTACTCAAAGTCGGAAAAGAAAAGTGAAGTGAAATACCATGCAACCCATAAGAAATGATAAACTTAGAAACTTAACGAAGAACTCATACATCAAATTGAATCAAGAGTATTGAAGTCGAATTCTCCGTTGAATTTGGAATAGACTTCTGAAAATTCCATCAAATATTGGTATTAAATGCGACATCCTGCCTCGTTCATATGCAACTCTTGATCATTAGTTTCGGCCTTCCGTGAATCTTAAAAAATCGAGTTTTCTGATCCAACTAGGAGTTATCTCATTGCTTTTCGGGGTGTTTCTTTTCTTCTTGATGTTTTCATTTTCTTTTTCTCACTTGGAATTATCTCGTTGCTTTCAAAATTATATAGGCGAAAAATTCGACGAAGCGAAAAATGCAGGAGCAGATTTGGTAGGTGGTGAGGATTTGATAGAACAGATTAAAGGAGGGTTTATGGAATTTGATAAGTTAATTGCCTCACCTGATATGATGCCAAAGGTATGGTTCTTACATCTTGTTCCTATCATATACTAAGCTGGCTTTCCAACACTATACATAATTCTAATAACATTCAATAGGATTGAAGTATATTTTACGGTTTAATTTGAAATTAAGTGCTCATCGGTTGGAGAGGGGAACGAAACATTCCTTATAAGGGCATGAAAACCTCTCCCTAGTGGACGCGTTTTAAAAACCTTGAAGGGAAAGCTGAAAAAGGAAAGCCCAAAGAGGACAATATATGCTAGTACTTGACTTAGGCGGTTACAAATGGTATTAGAGCTAAGTACTGGGCGGTGGGCCAGTGAGGATACTGGGTCCCCAAGGAGGGTGGATTGTGAGATCCCACATCAGTTGGGGAGGGGTACGAAGCGTTCCTTATAAGGGTGTGGAAGTCTCTCTCTAGCCGACGCGTTTTAAAAACCTTGAGGGGAGACCCGAAAAGGAAAGCCCCAAAAGGACAATTTGCTAACGATAGGCTTAGTGTTACAAATGGTATTAGAATTAGATATCGGGCGGTGTGCCAACGAGGACGCTGGGCTCCTAAAAGGGGTGGATTGTGAGATCCCACATCGGTTAGAGAGGGGAACAAAGCATTCTTTATAAGGGTGTAGAAACCTCTCCCTAGTAGACGTCGTTTTAAAAACTTTGAGAGGAAGCCCGAAAAGGAAAGTCCAAAGAAGACAATATCTGCTACCTTTCTCATATGCAACTAATAACTATTTCTTCAAGCTTGTATGGATAATATTCTTGGCGACCTCTTGTACTATCGATGACTTGACTTCTAAGCTAAGATACGTTACGTGTATTCATGTCAAAGATTAAAAGAAAATGAATAGAATTGATTCTCTCTTGGCCTCGTGCTGAAAGCCAACTGATACGTTTACGAACGATTTTGGTGTTCACTTCGGAATTGGTGCGGATTTTGAGAGATTTTAGTCAGCTCGAGCAACTTTAAATGAACCATTGATTTGATATAGTCCTATCCTTTCTATTTGTTTTAGGTTGCTAGTCTAGGGAAGCTTCTAGGACCTCGAGGACTGATGCCAAATCCGAAAGCTGGCACGGTCACAACCAATATACCTCAGGTACGTGTTCGATCTATCTACATTAGTATACCTCACAAATCGACAATGAAATCGTACTCTGTGCGTTCATCCATGAGATATTGAATGATGTAGCCTTGTCCTGTTCCAGGCTATAGCGGAATTCAAGCAGGGAAAAGTCGAATACAGAGCGGATAAAACTGGGATTGTTCACTTACCTTTTGGAAAGGCAGACTTTTCTGAAGACGACCTCCTCGTGAACTTGCTTGCTGCAATAGTATGTTCTTTCCTCATCTCGAGTTCTCAAGAACTTCATTTATTTCTAAAACTCGCTTTTCTTTGCTTTATTGATACGGTTCACTTTAATCTATAATAGAAATCTGTAGAAGTAAACAAGCCAACAGGTGCTAAAGGAGTCTACTGGAAGAGCGCACACATATGCTCGTCGATGGGGCCTTCGATTCGGTTGAACACAAGGGAAATGCTCGATTACAAGATCCCGTCATCAAATGCTTGAACAATTTTACTCTTACACCTGTAAATGTGTTCATCAATTTGTTTAATCCCGGCCCTCTCGGATGCGACTTTCGGTCGTCTTCAGCGGCCGAACATTGTTGAGATGGTAAGAAAGTTGGTATGGCGTTGTGAAGAAAGAAGAGAGGTTGTATGATTCATGTTGGGTTGAAGAGTTAACTTGGAAACTGCATACTCATTTTGTTTATGAACTGATACAAAGTAGCCCAGTTTTGTTGTGATTATCAGTATCAATCTATTCATGTGATCTGATTATTGTTTATTTCAAGAAAGGTCTCGATCCCAAATCGGTTGGAGACGAAAATAAAACATTCTTTCTAAGAATGTGGAAATTTTTTTCTAACAAACGCGTTTTAAAAACCTTGAGAGGAAGTCTAAAAGGAAAAGTACAAAGAGAACAATATCTGCTAGCGGTAAGTTTGAGCCGTTACAAATGGTATTAGAGCTAGACATTGGTGATGTGCCAGCGAGGAGGCTGAGCCCTGAAGAGGGTAGACATGAGGCGGTGTGTAGGCAAGGAAGCTGGGCCTTGTAAGGGTGGATTGAGGGGTCCTACGTCAGGACACTGTGACTTGAAGGGGGTGGATTGTGAGATCCCACATCGGTTGGGGAGGAGAACGAGGAATTTGGACCTCGAAGGGGAGTGGATGGTGAGATCCCACATCGGTTGGAAAGAAGAACGAAACATTCTTTATAAGAGTTTGGAAACCTCTCCCTAGCTGACGCATTTTAAAATCCTTGAGAAAACTCCTAAAGGGAAAGCTCAAAGAAGATAATATTTGCTCCTAAAGGGAAAGTTCAAAGAAGATAATATTTGCTAGTGGTGGGTTTGGGTTGTTACATGAACTGTCCTGGGTCTGCCCATTTCATCAACTGGTTCGTGTAGAAGAAGTTAGACTCTCGAATTTTGAATCTTCCATTGTAGCTACTATGTCAGATGAACCCGAAATCCCAGTTCTACTTGAATCAACCACTTTTCAGTTCAATTAGGTGATATCGTATAAGGAGAATGATTGATTCTTATGAACCGAGCTCAAGCTATCTATTTTACTCTCCTGTAAATTCTATTTGTAGCCTATTTACTGAGAAAAAGAAAAGAGAGGTGAACGAGTAAAGTCGAATTAACCCATATGTAACAACCAATGTCCAAAAAGGTTGTCGAGATCTAACTAGTAGCTATCAATTTTTTTTTTAAATTAACCATAATTTTATATTTTAACCATGTAATAAATAAAATAATTTCTATATATTTTACTTAAATTGAAATCAGATAAAAAATAATAAAAATAACCTTGGTGCGACCCAATGATACCTCCGTTGACTCTTTTCTGGTTATTCTTTTTAACGGTGAGCACTGAGCTGAGCTGAGCTGAGCAGAGCCTTTCATGGTTTGATCTCCACTCTCTAACAACACCATCGAAGCATGTCGAAGTTCAACTCCTTGATTTTGGTTTTGATTCTCTTCGTATTTCCACTTGCTCAATCGGAACAAGAAGCAATTAAAGCAATAATCCATCGTTTGGATTCCAAAACTTCATCTCCTTCGATTCAGGAAGCTGCGGCGAAGGGTCTACTTCGGCGATTGCTTCCGACTCATGTGGATAGCTTCAAGTTTCAGATTGTTTCTAGGGTACCAAGATTGGGAACTTTCCCCTCCTTGTGTTTTCTTCAGTTCAATTTCAGTTTTTATATCTCGATCGCATTTTTAGAGAAATCTCAAGTGATAATGTGAAATGTGCCACAATCTTTGAGCCCTAATTATGCTTTTCATTCTAATTTTGTATTCTGTAATCAGCACGTTAAGCATTCTTCACAGTTCCGGGAAAAATGAACTCTAATCGTGTTTTCTGATTCTCTATTTATCATCAGGACGTTTGTGGTGGAGGAAGCTGCTTCTTGATAAGTAATTTCAAGCCCTCAAGCAGTAATGGCGCAGAGATATTGTATGTTGCCTTTCATATTGATGAAGTATAAGGAAAAGAATAAGTGTTGTTAAGAATCACGACTCTCCACAATGGTACAATATTGTCCACTTTGAGCATAAGCTCTCATGACTTTGCTTTAGGCTTCCCCAAAATGCCTCATACCAATGGAGATGTGTTCCTTACTTATAAACCCATGATCATTCACTATAGACCCTCCCCGAGGCCTATGGAGCCCTCGAACAGCCTCCCTTTAATCGAGGCTCAACTCCTTCTCTGGAGTTCTCGAACAAATTACACCTTTTCTTCGACACTTGAGTCACTTTTGACTACATCTTTGAGGCTCACAACTTCTTTGTTCGACATTTGAGGATTCTATTGACATGGCTAAGTTAAGGGCATGACTCTAATACCATGTTAGGAATCACGAACCTCCACAATGGTATGATATTGTCCACTTTGAGCATAAGCTCTTATGGTTTTGCTTTGGGCTTTCCCAAAAGGCCTCATACCAATGGAGATGTATTCCTTACTTATAAACCCATGGTCATTCCCTAAATTAGCCAGCATGGGACTCCCCCCAACAATCCTCAACAAGTGTTTCGTTGACCTTTCCACCAACAAATGGTTAAGATGCTTTAACTTAATTTTGATCACTTGCCCTTCTATTCATTATGTAATGCTTAGCTGTGTTCGTTAATAGAATGGTTGACTCTTCCAATCACCACTCCTAGAGGGAAATGTTAGTAGAAGTGTAGAGTTTCGATATAATTAAATTTACTATAACCTATCAGCTCAAGCTTTTGGGTTTAATGGTGATTTAAGAACTATATTTTACTTATTTTAGTTTTTTTTTGGCAATCTTCTCAAGGATTCGAGGCACCACCGCGGTTGAAATTACGTCTGGTCTTTACTGGTACTTAAAATATTGGTGTGGTGCTCATGTTTCCTGGGACAAGACTGGTGGAGTTCAATTAGCTTCTATTCCTAAACCAGGATCTCTGCCTCTTTTAGAGGGTAACGGAGTTGTGGTTAAGCGGCCCGTGCCATGGAACTATTACCAAAATGTTGTTACTTCAAGCTGTAAGTGCTGATTTCTTATTTGTGATTTGATTCGACCTCTGTGTTAAGAGTTATGAATGTCAAGTTCTAGCATGCAAAGGATTTTTTCTTTAAATTATATAGAATATGCTAAATAAAGTTCATTTTTGGTGAATGTGAGGGGGGAAAAGTAGATTGAGGAAGATGATTACCATATCAAGAAGGGATAGAAAACTGAATCAAAGACTTCCTGGATATCAATCCATGAAATCAATATCATGCTCATCACAATTCTTTAATCTTCTTGGTTTTTCTTCTCTTTAAATGATAAGTATTTACATTTATGCTTATTGAACTAGAGATCAGTTAGATAACACATCTTTTTCTTTTCGAGTATTATCCGATATTTTAATCCACTTTTCAGATTCCTATGTGTGGTGGGATTGGGAAAGATGGGAGAAAGAGATAGACTGGATGGCCCTCCATGGAATTAACCTACCTTTGGCATTCACTGGGCAAGAATCAATTTGGAGAAGTGTTTTCAGGGTGAGCAATTACCAAGACCTTATTTTATTTTAGGAACCAAATCTGCACCTTCTTGAGATTCAAATTTAATTTTTAGAGTTGAGATTCCAACTAGGTTGGGACTAGAGAATAGAACGACTCGAAATAGGATGAACTTTTGGAGACAGGCACTGTTGAGTATAATAAGAGGGATTCGAACCCTCCGTTCAAAAAACTCGTACAACGGATTAGCAATCCGACGCTTTAGTCTACTCAGGCATCTCCTCCCAAATTGAAAAAGGATAATTACTATGATACATAGTATAAAAAATAGAAAATGATTGTTTTGAAACGTTTATTTACTCTTGTAAGGATCTGGTTCAGATGGATTGAAGAGTTCTTGTTATTTTTTTCTTGGATGTTAATGTCCTTCCATTTTGCAAAGGCATTTGTCACAAGTCTCCCCATTTTTGGTGGAGTTTTCTTTTTCACCGTTCGAAATCGTGCATATTATTTGTAGGAAGAAAAGGTCATGTTCAAGGACTCCATTCCAAACTAAGAGTCCCTTTGTGAATAATCTCTAGTTTTTCTCTCTCTTTTCTCTTTCTAAATTGTGTTCATAGGGTCGCTGTCAGTTAGTATTATCATATTTTCACTTTCACCTGAGTGACACTACTTGTTTCTTTTTTACTTGTAGGATTTTAACCTCACTGTCAAAGATTTGGACAATTTCTTTGGTGGACCTGCTTTCCTTGCCTGGGCTCGCATGGGAAATCTTCATGGGTGGGTGAAATTAATTGTTCTTGATTTTTTTGCCTAAACTTCTTGAACTATAGAACATAAAAATTTACCCAGAAGTCATATATTCAATCTCAAACATGTTATTTACAATTTATGCATGTATGCTACATAGAAATATATGAGCACTTATAGAATGCACATCCATGTATTGGTGGGTTGCTTTGTTAAGTATTGGCATTCTTAAGCACTTATTAATGAGAAAAGCTCTCAACTTGTGGAAGATGAAAAGTATGGGTATTAAGATTATTTGGTGCCTTCTTTGTGGCCTTCAATCACGAAAAAATTGTTATAACTTATAATGTTCGTCTTTACGTTTTGTATCGTTACTTGTTAATTGAAATGTTTCTTAAGACTTGAGTGTAAATCAATTACAGAAACACTTCCAACTTACATGATGCATTCTAAGATGGCTACTGAAGATAATCCGGCTTTCCTTGATGTTCTCATCTTTTCTTTGTTCCATTCATATACACTGACATCTATCTTACCAAAGGTGGGGTGGGCCTCTATCACAAAATTGGTTGGATCAACAGTTAGCTTTACAGAAACAGATACTTTCAAGAATGCGAGAGTTGGGGATGACTCCAGGTTTGCTAATTCTAGTTATTAGATAAAGATAACTTAATGGTTATGAAAGTGTGATATCCAACATCGATTGGGGAGGAGAACAAAACATCCTTTATAAGGGCGTGGAAACCTCTCTCTAGCAAACGCATTTTTAAAACCTTGAGGGAAAGCCCAAAAAGGACAATATCTGCTACCGGTGGGCTTGGGCACGGTATCAGAGCCAAACACGGGGCGATGTGCTAGCGAGGAGGCTGTCCCCCAAAGGGGTAGACACGAGGCAGTGTGCTAGTAAGGACGTTGGGCCCCGAAGGGGGTGCATTTGGTGGGGGTCCCACATTGATTGGAGAAAGGAACGAGTGTCAGCGAGGACGCTGGGCCTTGAAGGAGGGTGAATTGTGATATCTCACATC